TTACTGTGCTTGGGACTAGCCACCTCGTCACTTGACAATCAAATGTGAAGGCTGCAACGGTGGACAACAGCATGGACTAGTAAAAACCTCCACATCGCAGAATCGCCGCACACGCGACGAGCCCGATCGCCGCGTGCGGCGGCAGCCTGACCCCAGGAGGACAAACGCTACGCACCCCGCGATCATGTGTGTTTTTAACACATTGCGTACCGCGTGCGCCACCATGTGGCGCACGATTTCGCACGAAAGAGCATAGTTTTATCTGATTTATTTGGCATTTTTCAATGTTTTCGAATTGTTTGCACTCATTTTTAGAGCCGGAAAACAATGCTTGTCATCAGGGATAAAAGTGTTTATAGTTTAATGACGATTCGTTTCAAAAAACATAGAAAGATACGGAGGTGCCTGTACAACGGCGGTCCGCAATGTGTTAATTGAAAATGCAGCAGAATAGAAAATGTGCCCTGAAGAGTATTACTGAGAAAAAAGAGAAAAAGAGATCAAAATTGCTTGTTTGCTTTGTTTGTTTTGCATGTTCAAAGTTGTCATACAGGCAGTTTTTCTCTTTTATCGCAATTGAGCAAGAAAAACTAGGAGGGTGCGACTACAGCTTTTCACAAAAAGTATCTATCTCAAAAAGTCCTTCACGCAGTCCCACGTCCGTATATTGTTTTCCTGATCCGGCACTTCATTTTTTTGGATGAGAGCATGAGAAAGTGTCGAAAATATTCTTAAAACACTGTCTGCACCACGCGACCACATCGAGGCAAATTGATGTTGCACCATATGCAGCGCGGTACGCAAGAGATTAATTGACTTGTTTTGCATGTCTCTGCTAAGGACATGAGCGCCCCTCATTTTTTGGACGGATTCGAAAACGTGAGTATAACAGGAAGTTAGGCAACATTCTTAGTTGGCGATTGCACATCGATTAGGCTACTGGGAGATTAGGCGAGTGTTCATAAAAATAAAGGCAAATGTATAGAATAGGCGAATGGGTGGATGAGAAAGCTGTTATTGCCGCAGGAATTTGGGAGGGTTGTCTCCGGGTGGCCGCGGAAGCAGGGGCTATAGTACTACAGACTTAGTCCCGATCAAAGGAACCGTTGTACATGTGCGCCGATCCGATTGCGCGCTCCAGTGCTCAATAGCGCGCCCCAGTGCAACGTGGTTACGGTGGAACCTGGACAGTCATACTGATAAGTCGTTCTTATGCATACCGGTCGCTCAAAGGGGCCGGACGAAGGGCATTCTGCAGTGAAGGGTGTCCTCCTAACAGCCTAGCAGCGCCGTACTGGGGACGCTACAAGCCCACCATCGGTTGAATAATAACGGAGGGCTGCGTACTGCATGATGCTGCTGCTACTGCCATCGTTCGCTCTTCATTTTGGGAGGACACTTCACTTCGAGTAGATGTATCTTTCAGTTTTTCTAGGTCATGCGTTATCAGTCAGATCAGAAGATGATGTTTGTTGGCGTGATGCCGGCTATCGGGGTTAACATATGCAAACATACTCATCTTGCTCATTGGCCGTTCAAAGCAAAAGCTGATGGGCGCTCAATTAAATGTAGAATCCACCTTTGAATATAGTGTACACTGACTTACCATAAGGCGATCAATTCCTTGCGTCGGTGGTCTGCTCTTCATATGGCTTCTACCCGTCTTTCCAATAAGTTAAGAACATTAGTGCTTGATGAACACGATGTAGCAACGCACTAGGTTTTTTTTTTGAAATAGTACATTTATACTCCATATCTCGAGGTCTGATGGCATGACTATGGGTTTGACTTGGCGTTCACCCCACTTGATAGAAGTTGCACGGATGGGCCGCTTCTAGCACTTTTTGCTGATATCCAGCGTAGTATTGTTAGGAAGCAGTCTTTTCCACAACGGCTCTATCGATTGATGAGAGTCTCGCCAAAATCGAAGACACGTCCGATCTGACTTCAAGATATGGGTTGTAGCAAATTCATTCATGTACGGCTTTTATTACAGCGATGGTGGTAGTCCCGCTAGTCGGCACTCACGCAGCCGCTCACCCTCTCCTGCGAAAGAGAAGGGGTACGACAGCTCTTCTTCACGTCGTGATCACTGCCATTCTTCAAGGTCTCGGAGCCGTAGTGGCAGTGGGGATAGAGGAAGCAGGAGTAGAAGGTGGGTTAAATTTCAGAAATGGGTACATTTGATCACTTAATTTTGTTGTTGTTTGAACTACTGACACCTGTAACCCTGCAGTTTGTTGTGTGAAAAGAGTTGAAGGGTTAAAGTGAGGAAAAGTACTGAGGGAGAGTAAACAAAGTCATGGGATCAACTTTGCCGTCTTCCTCGTCGGTGTGATATCAAATTTGATGACTTGCGTCTGCAAAACACCTGTCTCAATACTTGTAATAAAATACTCAAAGTAAGCCAATACAATAGCAAGGAAGCTTGGCAAAATCGAAAAGTGCTTACACACTTTTCTACAAACAGTATAAGTGTATAGTACATTTATTGCGGCGCTTAAGGCAGACGTAAAGAAAAAAAACTGCATTCCTTTCAGCAGAAATGGAAGCGCAACAAATACAGTACATGCAAAATAGTCAAAACCTCATTAACGGAACATTCAGCGATAAATGGGAATAAACGAATTAAGCACCCATAAAAGACAATCAATCTCGAAAGACTACGAGGCTACATAACTTAATAGCTTCACAGCTATCTGCCTTCTAAACTGCTTTAGCGTACCGGGTAAGTCACCGTTCTTCGTCAACTTCTTATAGGTGCTTGCGGCTCTGAACGAAAAACTTCTGGCTTTCAATGCTAGTCTTTGGACAAGTCAAGTGTATTTTGGCTTGTCCCCCTCTAGTACGTGACCGTACGACTTTAAAAAAGTCAAAAGGACCTAGTCCCGTGGATTGGTTTAAAAGCTTATAAACCATGCATACGTCAAATACCATGCGCCGGGATTGAAGAGATGCAAGGTCGAAGTACCTATTTTAAATATGCTTTTGAAACTCTGGAGTATAGAGAAATTATTTTAGACCTTTTCCAATGCGACTACATCCTTTTTTTTGCTGGGCCAAACACGGCGACTCCAGGTTCAACTAGCGGTCGTACATAGGTTTTATATGCTTGGAGAAGAACCCGCTTATTAGCGGTAGAGAGACCCTTGAAAATTTGGAAGTACGCATAAGAGCTAATTTGCAGCGGTTCCTGATGTGATTGGAGAAATCCAGGGTGTTGGAGTAGTGAAAGCCTAGATCTCGCACCGATTTTACAGGAACGACAGATACTCCGTCGACAACATAAGAAAAGGGGCTGACCTCCGAACCCAGACTAATCCTCATGCACATTGTCTTGTTAGGTGCTTGCCACTGTTTCGACCAGTTCCGGAATGTCCCATCGTTCGAACAAAGCAAGATCGGAAGGAATATACAAGGAGTTGCGGGATTTTTTCGAGATGTGGCGACTCTAGAAAGCCCTTAGATGGTGTCATAAATAAAATCACCGTTTGAGTGCCTTGGGAACTTGAGGAATCATTTTTACGTTTTTGTTCCAGCTCTCAATAACATCGTAAACAGAAAGTACCCGCAATAATTTCGTTCCGTGGAAAATTGATGATTTGAGGCTGGATCAGTGCTTCGGGCAAACATTTACATTTTTTTCGATAAAAGCGTGAAAATCAGTGGGAAGGTCTATCAAGAGGAGATGCTCTAGAATGCTGTGTTCCCCTCGAAGCACAATTATAACAATTCTATCATTCTACAATAATGGACTCGGGTCCATGGCGACGAATAAAGAGCGATCACGTCTTCGAGACAGTAACGGCTATTCTGTGCGATGATTCGTGGTCCGCTTACACTCGAAATAAGAGCCATTAGCTCTTCTGTTCGAGGTTCCATTGAAGAGCTACTGAAAAATCGAAATGCATAAAGTTTGGTGATTTCGGAAAGAGCTTTTCAAAATTTAGAAATTATGCGTTGTTTTGATGAAATTAATGCGTTGCAACACATCTCTGCCGCACTATCGACTCGCACGAAGAAGTAATTCTAGGCCTGTATCAGAACTGATAACAGCTACCTCAAAATTTCTTTGCATTCATAAAATGCCATGGTTTGATGTTTATAGAATTCATCCTCCAGTATGTACGCAGCACGCAACACAGCACTTAGTTGCATTTACCGGATCAAGTTGTTGACCCTTCTTCGGAAGAAGATGCGGAATTGGTAGCAGGGATAATAGTAGCCGGGAATAGTGTGAATAACATATTAGCCTAGCGGTTTTATGGTTCTTGTGCACAATTTGTTCGCAGTCTAACCTATGGATAAGGCTACACTATTCCTTATAAATGCCTGTCTTGAAATACTGGAATTTCGAATAATATGAAGAGCAACAACTTATGGCACTTCTTTGCAGGAACTTGTTTGCAAACCTTGTACCTTTAATTTTATTTATTTTATTTTAATTTTTTATTGACATGTGCAACATACACATGTAACGGAACAATTCAAATAAAGACAGTAGCAGAAACAACAACCAAGTAACACAAAAGCCGCCTCAACTCAAATCATCTCACCAATGCTTTTCTTAAACGTAACATATTTCAAAGAGAACAAATTGGAGCGTAAAATACGATTAAAATAAGAACGCACTCTATTGCTAAAGAAGTTCGACCTGCATCGGTTTCTAGCAAAAGACGTTGTTGTACATGACAAAATATTGATACTAGCTGATTAACTAGATCGACTTTCTGATGGTGTTCTGGGAGAAAAGACAAGAAAGAGTCCCTAAATAAATCCGCACCATGAACCCGTTTGAGCACGAATCAGTTCTGCTTTTGTCGGCAGTGGCGTTTGGCTTTTTAACCCATAACGGACGGCGTGCGCCACAAGGTGGCGCACGACTATTTCTTTTGTTTTTGGAATGTTTCTAGCAATCTTAATATACCCATATATACTCTCAGCAATGTGGAATAACATATCTTCCCAGGACCTGGACGGCTGGATTTTTGACAAACCTACAATAAATTTTATACATTTTGTCTTAATTTACATAAGTTTACTATTTGATGGGTGGCTTACCCATGGTTCGCACGTCCCGAGACCCCTTCCCCTAAATATAGCCACATCCTTGCTCGGGGTTGTTGTTTCGCATTTTTCGATAATGTCACCTACAGCTTCCATTCATTCTTTGCACCCTAGTTTTAGAGCGGAAAGGCGGGCTACGAACTTGTCGTCAACGGAAATCTCTTTTTTCGGATGATGAGACTCCGACACCTACTTTAGCCCCGTCTTACCCCTGCTGTTCACATAAGCCTACATAAACCCTACCCTGGGTGGCGGCGTGCGCCACATGGTGGCGCACGCGAAAAATACACTGGCCGTCCGTTATGGGTTAAAAATAGATAGTCCGACAATGGAGGGAGGTAAACAGCTGTTGGTGGATGGGGCGTACACTCCAAGGGGTTCCGGGACCGGGAAAAATGGTCAGTGCTGGAGAAGGCGGGAAAGAATGAGTATCGGTGATGGGCGTGCCGTGCGCCGACGTGGGCGGAGTTTGCCACCGATTTATAATTCTGCTCCAAGAAGTCCCTGAGACGGTGAAAAAGTGAATAGAGTCTGACAATGGTAGGGGAGGTAAACAGTGGTGAATATCGCTGGTGGATCCCCAGTAGCACGTCGAGGATTTTCGCCTGATCAGTTACGTTTCCCGCGCGGACATTCACACTCGCATGCGCGAGCCGTCTGTGCTCTCCGCGCGTACGTTCACTCTCGGCGCTACTCTCGCACAGTACAGAGCCATGGTCGAGATTTCTCGACCTTCAACCGTCATGTTCACCACCCTGCAAGAAGGCAGCTGCCATTGTGTTGTAGGTTGTTCCTTATTTTAGGCATACCTTAAGCCTAGGACGACGATAGAAGTGACAGGCGCTTTCGGAGTTTGAATCTCACCCGTTTCAAGTCTTGCTAATGCGGCATCTTTTTGGAGTATATTATACGATGTCATGCCTCACTTTCACTCGGAGAAAGCAGCAACGTTTCTCATAAGGCAGGACGAATTTGGCGTGTAAGTGCGTTCAATAGTGAAGCTAGAGGTGAGAAGAGTCTGGAAAAGAAAAAGGGAGCAGAAAAAAAATTCTGGTCACGCTTTGAGCAAGGCACCCTCTCATTCGCATTCCACCTTGGGATAGAGAAGGGGCGTGTTCGGACGTGTTTTCGACCAGCTAGCTTCTGTTGCTTCAGTACAGGTGACGTTTAGCCGCAATGGCAGTGTTTTCGCGGCACCAGCGTGGCGGCCGACTTCGGAAAGGGTGTGCTTGCGAACGAAGGTGTAGATTGCGAGTTGCGCGGACTTCGGACGCCTTTCTCGCGCCCTTCCAAGCCGCAAAAAGGGCATGAATTCAACCCCTGCCCGCCTGTATACCACGATCAGGGATTGATGAAACAGGTAGACGAGACGAGAACAAGTTGATTGGAGTTAGTGTTTTTCCGGAACAGAGGTACTGGTTTGTACATTAGCTAACAGCATTCATCCGATAGGACAAACACGCATTCACAAGTAACCAATGTTGACCTTATTTGAAGGTAAAACGCATGGCTCACTTGAAAATGTTCATTGGAACGAATTATTTCTTTTATTTTTGTAATCCTTCAGCCGATCTCGTTCCCCCGATTTCGACAGAAACGAAGCACTACGTGATTCCTGGGCGGCCCTAAAGGCACAACCGAATAATTTCGATGCATGGATTATTCTTCTCACTCAGGCTGACCAAAGTGTGAGGAATATTTTGGAACTCGTTTATTTCATGGGTAGTTAAATGCAAATGCACACAAAGATTTTTTGTCGTGCCTATTTCGTTTGCATTCAGAACGATATCAGATTGGCTCGTGATATGTATGATCGATTTCTATCCAAATATCCGTATTGTTATGGCTTTTGGAAGAAATACGCAGATATGGAACGTCGCCACCAGAACTTTTCCGATGCACTCAACGCAAGTTCTTCTATAAATTTTGATACGAATTTAATGGAACCTTGTGACAAGCTCTCAAAGGAGTGCAAAAGCGTCCTCAGGTTCTCCAATTAGATCATAAGCTAGATCAGTAGATCATAATTCAAGCAATTCGAACCGAATTCGCTCAAAACTGATCACTTTTCTCATCTATGAATATATGTCTCACAACAAGTGCAGTGCTTGCTTTGACAATGAAAAATTGTTTTGTGGATTTTTCATATTTTTACAGGTTTGGGAACGTGGAATTCTTGCGATCCCTTTATCAATCGATTTGTGGCTTGGCTTTCTTTCATTTATGCGGGAATTGGCTCCTCAATCGGACAGAGGAATAGAAAAATTACGAGAGTATGTCCTGATTGTCTGAGAAAATAAAGGGTTTTGCGAAGCTCGCTAGTTGAATGCAATTAAATGATATTTATAGATTGTATGATCGAGCATTATCTATGGCGGGTTATGAATTCCACAGCGATCGGCTCTGGCAAGACTACATTGCTTGGGAAGAAGCACAAGGGGAATGGCATCGAGTTGCGGCAATATATGATCGCCTAATACGTATTCCAACTGCAATGTATAAGAGTCATATGGAAAGGTGCGCTTGCGTTACATACGTTCATCTACACGCATGCATATGCATATATATACATATTAATAAAACATATTTTATTTTCGCAAATTTTCGCAAAATGGTACTATTCCACTATAACCGCCCTGAAACCTCAACATTTTATTTTTTGTCGAAGCTTTGCTATATAGGGTAATTCGATGCCCTGATTATGAATGTGATATTCATTTTTGATCGCTGGCACCATTTGCGCCTTCTTGTCACGACGGCTGTATTCGCCAAACTAAGTGTAAAAGTTGTGTATAGGTGATATTTGTGTCCCTCGATTGCGAATGTGACATTCTATATCTACCTGTTCCGCATTTGGCGACCTCGTTTTCGTTCTCGTCTGCACCCGCTCTGGTCAACTAGTTTGATTCGACGGATCTCAGGCTAAGCTTGGAGAAGGAAGGCTCAGAACGACAGCGCCACCCACCCTGTGAATCTCACCACAACTCGTCTCTTAACCATATGATGCGCAAGTTACCCCGAATCCGCGGTGTCCCCACTCCCCACCTCACCCTTAAGCACTGTACCTAAGTAAGAGAGGCCAAGATTTCGGAAAAAATATGTGTTAGGACAGCGACAAATTTTTTCAAAAACTTTTCAAATGTCATTTGTAATCAGGGCATCAAATACCTCTATAGGCTAAGTTTCGACGGGAAGTGAGATTTTTGGGGTCAGTAGTCCCCAGTGGATGGTTTCCAAAACTTGATTTATTCGCAAATTCCTAAAGATTCGAAGCGATTGTGAATATGTGCAACCCTTATGATTTGATATCGGAGGATGAATTCAACGATATTTTCGATATTGTGAGAAGGAAATGCAACATTGGTGTGAGTCTCTGAAGTTAAATTTCACACATGGGTCTATGATTAGTGCCAGCCTATTTTCCTTATTTCCTCCATTTTTCATTCTCTTTAGCGTTAATCCTGCTCCTGAGATTCGCTGCTTTTGTGAGTTGTCACCACTTCTCTTTGCAAAGAATCTTCTGCAGATATTATGGAGTCTTTCTTGATGCACCTCTCCTCCGCTGGCTTTTGTTGAAGGCTTGTCCTTGTGATGACCTTCTCCAAAGTTCAAATTAGATGCTTTTCTTATTGAGTGATTCTTCAACCTTCTCAGCTCATGTCCATAGGAGTACAGTTGCGCAGAGTCTTCACTAGCGTTGTCGTTCTTGACCTTGTCCAGTTACGCAATCAAGTCATATAGTTTTTCATGGTTTTCTTCTACAGGCTAGCTTTCGCATTTGCGGAAGGGTTTTACCACTATCCAGTAGATTTTGCCCTAATGTGACATCGATCGCATACACGGAGCTGAAAATTGATCTTTTTGCTTTCAAGCATGGGTCTACCAGCACTACCTCTTGGTTTTTGTTACTGCTTTGGGGTATATGCTGTTCTGTCGTTAGTGTCAATATCATCTTTTGAGAGAATGGTCAGTGGCCATCATGACACTGGGAAGTTTTCCACCATGACATCCGAAGCATGACTCCGAGTCACGATGGGAAACTGTCACCAAAGAACACCGTTCATGCCGGAGGCTTTAGTAAGCTATCACAGATGGTGTAAGGTAGTTAGTTAGTTAGTTAGTTATAGGTAGTTATACCATCTGTGATAGCTGATATCCCACAGATGGGAGAAGGTAGTACCTTATCCCCATTGTACTTGTTCTTCATCAGAGAATTTAGATGTTCTGGGGCATTTTGAACACCTTTAAAGCGCTGGTCGGAGAATAAGGTGCTTCTGGGTCACTACCCCTTTTGAAAGAAAAAAAAACGTTTTGCAGTCCACTAGGTCGAGGTATCGCCAGGTCAGCGATTTTTTGAAATTCCTTACTCCTACTTCTACATTGCCATGCAGTCTTTTTAAGCCTGTTCTGTCATTCAGTTCACTTGCCATGATAGCATACTCACATTCCGGAATCGACCTAATGGCATCGCCAGGTCGGATCCAATTCTTTCTTCACTAGTTCGAGGCACCGGCTTGTGGTGCGCCTACCATTGGTACTGTCCAGAATCCTTCCTTCGTGTTAATTCTCTTCACCAAGCTCACGTTTTGAGTCTCAATTTGAATTTGTTCCATTGACCAAATTTTTCGTTCCTCAGTAAACCTCGGATTTTGACTACGGTACTGACGAGGATTATGAGCGTCGCCCCCGTATGCGTCTTCTTTATCGTTTTTTACAAATCTCATTTATCTTTGTTGTGAATGTGTTCTGGACACCATTTTTACAATTTTGTGGTAGCCATGGTTTTCATTCCAGCATGGATTGAACTCATTATCTCTTAGAGTACAGACATAAGTCCTCATTCTTAACGGCGCTCTGCTATCCCTGTATTTTCAAACATTTTATTCATCACGGGTATTCCTCG